TACACTTTATATGTGATATTACACCAGGAATCTGTTGTTCAACACACAATGGTTAGAGGTGAGATTCCTTTGTTCAACCTGCTGTGTTAAAAGGAGGCTTTTTTCTGAATCCCTGCACTTGTTACACCTCACTAAACCTTTGATTGCTTGATGCCTGTCTTTTTGCTTTATATAGTAAATTACATCCTTGTGACTCTCCAAGCTGACTTTAAACTGATGTTTAAAGCTGATGTTTAAAGCTGAATGTTACATTCTTGTAACATTCTTGTTTTTGGAACACTTTTATGGAAAATGCTGACCATCTTAAGCTGTCGATATCTATTCAGCTAGGACATACTGTAAAAACTTGTGCAGAACCACCGTGGCAAAAGAAATGGAGGAAGCATGTGACAGACTGAAGAATTGCCAGGGAAAGATGCAGTCCAGCTGCTGATGTGGAGGAGTTTGTTTCAACATAAAGCGAACAGGTGAGTCCAAAACATGCAGGCCTGTAACTCTGACATCCACAAAGGACCCCACCGCCACCACCCTCAGTCCCTCCATCCCATCCCTTCAGGGGCCTGTTTAATGAGGAGCAGGCAGCTGCAGCAGAATGGGAACAGCTGAGAAAAATAACACATCCACACAGTACATCCCCAAGGGCACTGACGCTCATTATATTCAGTAAATTTGCAGGTATAACAAGCAATAGTTCACTTATCATTATGTACTACTAAGGCTGACAGAATAGTACTATGTTACCATTGGCTCTTTTAACTCTGATAGCACAGGTTTTAAGACGACCTTGTGACTGCAAGCTAAAAACTTTCACTGTAACTAAATCAGTTGGGCTGACTTGTCAGCTTTATTGCAAGTTTTCACAGTGGTAATGGAAGCGCATACATCACACTGACCAATGAATGTGAGCAATGACTTCATCTCTGACCTTGTGTCATCTTGCAAATATTTGGGAGTGCAGGGAGAAGTCAGAGGTGGTTTGCAAGTCTATAAAACTGCCCTCTAAGGATCTATGACGAGCAATCAAGTCTGGTGCTCTGTTCAGCTCTGTGTGACCCAGCCTTGGTGTCAAAGCTGTGATGCTATTGGTGGACTGCCTGCATGCTCCCTGAGTTCACGAGAGGCGGAGAGTGTTTTCAGAGCAAATCAAAAACGCGTCAACTGGAGTTTTACTTATCACAAAGTTATAAGAGTACATTGCACATTTTCCTTCTCAAGATCAGAGGTTGCTTTACAGTATGTCACTCATTAAGGTGACACAATGCATGTGCGAAAAACAAACATTTACGTTTTCTGTGCGTAATTGCGCTTACAGAACATATCCCGCTCTGGTTTTACCCCAAACATGTGTAACATGAACAATACTAAAAGTTCTCTTTACCTGTCTGGTGAAAAGAATAGCTGTGTCCCAGTACTCGGGATGCTTGTCGTTGTTTTTGTTCATCTTTTTTTGCCAAGTGCAAAAGTTCCGCAGCGTCATGGCTGCGTTCCCGGACACCTTGGGTCCTTTGTCCTCCTCGGATATAATCATGATCTTCACAACTGTAATGCTGATGGAGTTGAGGATGCTGGGATGCTTGTACAGCTTCGCTGCCACTGCCATCAGTGTCAAGAGGTAGTGCTTTAAGTCATCTCCGTGGAATTTCGCCATGGACTCGTCCGCCACAACAAGCGTCTCCACGTATCTGGGGACTGAGGCGAACCTTTTGGCTCTCCCCATCCTATTCAGCATCGTTTCTGTCACATTGCTGTGGTCCGCCAGTCGCTTGTATTTCTCCAAGGACTGCGCAGCCTGGAGGCTTATGTCGCTGTCCACTGCGCACCTGGAGGTAGAGCTGGGCTTCAGGTTGTTGCTGGCTCTGCGCCGGACGATGTGCGCGCTCTCTGCGCTTCTGGTGTCATTTTGTACCGGGCTGATAAAATATTCCCAGCCGTGGAAGCCAAATGCACCTTGCACACCTTTGCAGAGACTGAGAGCGGCATAAGAGTACTGATCAGCGTTCACATATCCAGAATAAAAACACCGGGTCAGGTCAGTGGTGACATCGGTATCGGAGAGCCACAGTGCGCCTTGGTTAGAGATGGAAGGGGCAATGAAATTAGAGTCTCGCTGTAAATCGATCACTAATTCCTGCTTGAAAGCTTTAATCTTTAGGACATATTTTCTATTAAGGAAATCCACGTCGTTATCAGAATCCGTCCTTTCATCGCTATTCATTCTAATCGGGAAGCAAAGTTCACTCTCCATGCAACGAGCGAGCTTTAAGAGTGAGACCACAAAGTAAAGGAGAAAAGTTGATCTGATAAACATGACGATGTTTGCATTAATCAAAGATTGCAATGACCAACGGGGGGGAAGAAAGAAAATCAGAATGATGAAGAATCTACAAGCTCAGTGGCGGCGGCGAGAGGATCGGGATGAAGAGCATAATCCAAAGCGCTAAAACAGTGCAGGTCGTACAAGTCCACTCAGAGAAAACTCCTCCTGGTCATTCTCCACGTGTGTACTCAGTCGACTGCTGCCTTGTGTGGAGCTTATGCATTTGGTCATGTGTAAAAATATGGAAACACAACCTTTCTTTGCTGGGGGGAAGTCTTTCGAGGCGCTCATTGGATGAGCTTCAGCCTTTTCTTCTTCTTCTTCTTTTTTTTTCTTTTTTTTCTTGCCGCCTCTTAAAACTCATCAAACAGGCCAATCAATAAGTCACAACGTACAAAATATGGTGAATTAGCAGATCTTGCACTTTACACTCAGACTACTGCACATCCACTACTCCATTAAATCTTTAGCTTTTGGTCACATGGAGTGAATAAAAATCTTTAATGCCACATGCATATTCAACAGAAATCCCTGCACTTCATTTGTAGTTCATAAGGCGAATAAGAGCTACAAGTACTGCATGTTTAACGGAACACCGGACAACGGGCAGCAGGAAAATAACAGGCATGATTAAATAAGGGGTGACACAGGCCACTATCATACTGCAGCTGAAGTTCCTCGGAGGAAGATTATAAGTTGTAAGGATTCAGCATCACTTTTTCTCCATGTTGTGATTAGGTCCGTTTCTGAGAGAATCACATACGACATCTTGTGGACAGAATAATAATAATTCTATAGCAGGGGTCCGAGGGTATTCTTTTAAGACTGCCAGAAAATGTTAGAAAGTAACTACTCTAATTATTTTTACTCAGCTACAGCCTAATTTGATTTAATTTTACTTCTATACAGGTGGATGGGGCTGTTGCTAAATGATACTTCTTTATTATTTCTTTACGGATTAAAATCTTATTTGCAAAAAGTATCAGCATTTGAATTAAAGTTGTTATGTGAGACATATTTTGTACTATTATACATTTTAAATGCATTATACATACCTTACGGAGATCTAATATTAACAGTGCAGCTAAAGTTAATGTACTTCGGTTTTGTTAGTCAAACATAGATAAAAGAAATAAAGCTGAAATTAAAACACAAATCAAATCAAATCAAATCACTTTTATTGTCACATCACATGTGCAGGTACATTGGTACAGCACATGTGAGTGAAATTCTTGTGTGCGAGCTTCACAAGCAACAGAGTTGTGCAAAATACAATAATGTAAACAAGCAAAATACAAGCTACATCTGAAACTAATAAATATATGTACAATATGTAATAGTATATGCATTTCTGGATGTGTATACTAAATATTTTTCTACGTGTGTGTGTGTGTGTGTGTGTGGTGTGTGTGTGGTGTGTGTGTGGTGTGTGTGTGTACACATATTTTACAAATTAAATAGAGTAAACAATAAATAAAATGTATAAAATAAATAAAATAAAATATACAGAGTGAGACATGTGCAAAACAGTGGCATTACTGTACAGTATGGAGTGCATAATGTTAAAGTTCCAGTAGTGAAGCTGAGGTGTCTATGACGTGTTCAGCAGTCTGATGGCCTGATGGAAAAAGCTGTCTCTCAGTCTGCTGGTACGGGACCGGATACTGCAGAACCTCCTTCCTGATGGAAGTAGTCTGAACAGTTTATGGCTGGGGTGACTGGAGTCCTTGATGATCCTCCCCGCTTTCCTCAGGCACCGCTTCCTGTAGATGTCTTGGAGGGAGGGAAGCTCACCTCCAATTATCCGTTCAGAGCACCGCACTACTCGCTGGAGAGCTTTGCAGTTGTAGGCGGTGCTGTTGCCATACCAGGTGGTGATGCATCCAGTGAGGATGCTCTCAATGGCACAGTGATAGAAGGTCCTGAGGATGCGGGGGCTCATGCCGAATCTTTTCAGTCTCCTGAGAAAGAAGAGGCGCTGCTGCGCCTTCTTCACTGTTTTGTTTGTGTGTACTGACCACGTAAGATCCTCAGCCAGATGTACACCAAGGAACCGGAAGCTGCTCACTCTCTCCACAGCAGCGCCGCTGATGGTGATGGGGGTGTGTACTTCTCTGCACCTCCGGAAGTCCACTATCAACTCCTTTTTGTTTTGTGTGTTGTCGTGTAAAAGTCTGTGGAAATCTTCATCTCATCCGTCTGTAGTAGTAAATATGATGATTGTGACTTTATGTGGTCTACTACTAGCTTTGCATCCACAGACAGACTTGGGCCACTTCCCTCAACCATAAGGATTTTTTAAAATATACTTATAATAATTTGTGGTATAAAATTTCTAATATGGCCCCAACGGGGTGAAAAATAGTAGTAATGTTGACTCTGGGAGTTATATCATTTTATTTAACGTTTAGCTTTGTTTGCGACGTGGTTGCTATGAACGCAGCTGCCGTTGCTAGACTGAGGACCCCTGCTTTTAAGTTGTCCACACAGAAGCCGGTCTTGATTTTGGCATTCTATCGTTAAAAACAGTTGAAAACCACGTTTGATGTCAAAATAAGCGGAAAAAAGTCGCATATTTGAATACTGAGTGTATGCAAACGACTTATCACACTTTGTTATATGTTCTGCGTCACTTTTTTGAATTGGCAGCTAAACTGGCAAGCGTCTGTGCTATTCGTTGACACCCTGCACACCGAAAAAAATAACACTACTGAAGAGTAACCTCTGCTACCCGTCATAAGTTGTGAGTTTTAAAGTTAAAAAGTAAAACATTTTACATCCAAGCGTCTATTGTAACAAGAGCAATAATTTACCAATGGTCACAGTTTGAAAGTTACGGGGATTTTTGGGCTCTAACGGAACCAGCTGCCGCCGAAATGAACTCGTATCACGTTTTGTCGCTGGTGGGAGAGGGCTCATTTGGACGGGTTTACAAGGGAAGGAGAAAAGGTAGTGGCATGGTAAGCATCTACAGGAGCACAGTTTAGTTTCCTGTTTGTTTAACGACACTGCTTCACATCGTCTCTTCATCTTTGTCCCATGAGGTGGTGGCTCTTAAGTTCATGCCAAAGCTGGGTCGCTCGGAAAACCAGCTACAAAGTCTCAAAAGGGAAATTGAAATTATGAGGGACCTTCGGCATCCCAATATTGTCCAGCTCTTTGACAGTTTTGAGACTGAAACTGAGGTATTCTCCCATTTTCTCAAAACTCTCAAATAAGTTGCTGTCAACTAATTATCTTTACATAATCCCATGATCATTATAACCCCCTATATATGTTAATGACAGGTTGTGATTGTCACTGAGTACGCAGAGGGCCAGCTGTTCCAGATCCTTGAGGATGATGGAAACTTACCAGAGAGCCAGGTTTTCACTGTTTTTACACAATTGAACCAGATGTGAAGCTTTATTTAATGTTACGTTATTAAACTAGTCTTCCCTTCTTTCAAGGTCCGTGCGATTGCCTGCCAGTTGGTCTCTGCTCTGTACTATTTACATTCCCATCGCATTCTTCACCGTGACATGAAACCCCAAAACATCCTGCTAGAAAAAAGCGGTGTGGTGAAGCTCTGCGACTTTGGGTATGTTGATAGTTGCAAAGAAAAAAGTTTCAATCGTTTCTAAAAGAATAAATGACATGATGCAATCTTGCTGTAGGTTTGCCAGAGCGATGAGCGTCTCCACCTTAGTGCTTACTTCTATCAAGGGAACGCCCCTGTACATGTCCCCTGAGCTGGTGGAGGAGAAACCATATGACCACACTGCTGATCTGTGGTCTTTGGGATGCATCCTTTATGAACTCCACACGGGGGCGCCTCCGTTCTACACCAACTCCATCTTCAAGCTAGTGCAGCTCATTGTGAAAGACCAAGTGAAATGGCCAGACACCATGAGCAGCACTTGCACGGTACAGTAAAGCTACACTTTACTCACCTTGTGTTACATTTAGGTTGAAGCCAACATCTTCAATATGTTGCTAGCTTGAAAATTTTAAGCCTATAAAAGATTATGTTGCAATTATAAGTCCCTTGAAGGGTTTATTGGAGACAAACCTTACACAAATTGTTTCCTAATGCAAAGTCTTCTATATTATTACTATCCAATGATTTCTTTGCAGAGCTTCCTGAAAGGCTTGTTGACCAAAGACCCCCAGAAACGGTTGTCATGGCCAGACCTCTTGTACCATCCCTTTGTTGCTGATGGTGTTCTAGGTGATTCTTAAAACTCCTGATTTTAGTAGAAAGCTTTCAAATGTTAATGACACATTCTCATGTCTGACATTCATGATTTTATTCCCATGTGATGTGTTTGCAGTTTTGCCAGCCACAAATGTGTCCAGGCCCTTGACGGTCACACCCAGCCCTGACATGCTGGCGTTGAAACTCCAACAAGTGGCAGAGAAGACTGTACCAGCTTCTGCAGAAAGCAGATTGTTGCGAAAGGTCAGGGAACAAACAGAAAACTGTAGTAAGAGGAAACCACCAGGAAAGGACAGTGCCAAAGTAAGTAATCAGTAATTATGATTATTTTATTATTTGTAAACGTTTGTATGGTGAGATCAGCGGAGGGCCCTAAACCTGTTTTGTGTGCACTGACAGAAAAATAAGGATGAAAGGGAAAATGGTGCGATGGCAGCAGCAATGTCCCCTAGAGTGTGCAACCCCATGCCCTCTTGTGGCGATGTTTCTGTTACCTCGGGTCAGCTGGATATGATGGCTGCTAATCAAAGCCTCGGACCGAAGATTCAAGCTAGCTCAACATCAAAGCACAGGTGTTAATGAAGGTTCAAAGTAACGATGAGTTATGCTATCATAAACAAATGTGTTTATAGTTCCTTTCTCTACAGGGGTCAGATAAGCATAGACTACGAACGGGAATTTCCCTGTATAGATATCGGGCCGCGACTTGTGCGGAGATGCAGGGAGGAAAGCCACACCTCACAGCGATTGCAGGTCAGAGACAGCTGCCTTTTCCACTCATTAGAAATTATTTACATATTATCTGTCAGTAGAGGATCTGCTTTGATAACACGCACAAAAAAAACTTGCTTTCTTAAATTAATATATTAATATATACCTGAAACTGAGTCATTTCTTGTTCTTTCAGAATGTAAACAACAAAGAATACTGGGAGAATCTGGCCCAACTGTCCGATCCAAGCAGACAAACGAGAGAGATATTAGATTACAGCATAATTATATCTCAAATTAAATCAAAGATCCAGGAATTTAAAGCTCAGGTAATGTTTCAGCATTTCATTCGGCGTGAATTTTTTCTTCTTCAAAGGAGTTTTGCATCTACTCCTTTTTTTCTTTGTTTGGGCAGCTAAAAGGGGGCGTGGTAAAAGAAGTTCAGCAGATTCAGCAACCAATGAGGGTTCTACATAATCTGCTAGTGATGGCCGAGGTTGAGAAGTTGAACGACGTCGGCCGTGAACTTGGGCTACCCCGTGTCCTCTTTGGCCTGATCCAGGATACTGTAGAAAGCTCAGATTTCATTAAGGTTGCTACCCTGGATTGAAACAGTGTTTCACAATGAACTGATCCTGCAACAATGTTTCTCACTTCTACTTTGGTACTTTGTCAGCATCAGCAGAGTATCCCTGTCCTTCAAGAAATGATCACAGTGGTCCTGGTCTACTGGGAGAAGAACTGTGCCTGGGTGGAACAGGAACAAAGGTTTGATGAGTCTTTTTTTCCCTCGCTGAAACTGACTTTGTTCATTTGTGAAATACTCAGTGCATACACACGAGATTCCAACTACAGCAGCTCACCATCTGCTTCTCACGCTTTAGCCTGGAAGAGTTCACAGAGTCCTTCAAAACAATTCTTAGTCAACCAAATCTCAGTCGTCTGGTCGTGAGTACCCACTGACATATTTCAACAGCATCAACCATGTTCAGCATGGTTTACATATAATATCCTGTGTCTGTACCTTTTTGATATGCATTCAGCTGGTCTGTTGTGTGAAACGCTCAATTATCTGTCTTTTAGCCTCTGGCTGCTTGTGTTTTGTCTCTCTTCACACAACACAATGTTGATGTCAAAGTTGATGTGGAGCATCTAGCATCCTTGCTGAAAACTCTGGTCTTGAACCCATGTGAGGTACTGAGCTCATGTAAACCTGGCAGTAATATGAAAGCTTGAAGGGACCTGAAAATGTATGATCCATTTATTTTTCTACATTATCAGCCCACATTTCTCCACCCTCCGGTTGGGGACTCTGTGATGGCCTGCTGTCTTTGTTCCTAGATGCACTTAATGAGGTCAGACTGCAGATGAAGTTTGGTTAAACATGTATTAGTACAGATATTAGCAACGTATCTGTACTAAATGTCTGTGCTTTCTTGTTTAAACAGCATGAGAATGGCCCTTTGCCCTCGGGTTTAAATGAAGTTTTCTTTCTGAATCTGTGGAAAAGATCGGTGCTTCCCTAAGAAGTGCAACATCAGACTCTGACTTCTGTTCAGCAAATGGTAATTGTACTCATCCTGTGAAACCCATGATGTCTGAAAACACTTCTAATGAAAAAGCAAACCTTGCTTCTTTGTGTGTGTCTGTTACAGGACTGTATTTCTTTCTCTCTGCTTTACTGTTTGCCTTCTGCAAGGATGCATATTCGTGCATTCCTGTGTTTTGTGATGTTGGATCAGAATGTGTGTACGCTCTTGGCCGCCTGCTGGGCACCGAGTGGTTAGTGTTGAGATGTCTTAATTAAACGAAATAATTTGTATTACAAGCCAGCTACAATGCCTGGAGCTAACAATAGCATCTTTTATACCCTACAGTCTTCATTTGTTTGCCAAGGGCAATCCTGGGAGGCCCAGGGTGGATCTGAGTCACAACACTTTAGCCACACTGAGCTGCCACTTGTTATGTTTTCCATTCGCCCTGGACCTGCCTCCACGCACCATGTCCACAGTTCTCCAGTTGTACGACAGCTGTGGTATTGTTACAAGCCTCCTGCAGGTTAGGGCCTTATTTTGCTCCAATAAAGACCTCGCCGACAAACATAATTCTCTGATGCAACACAGGATAACTCTTGCACTAGTTTTGTGTCTGGCATGCAGTACTGTACACCTGGATGTGTCTGTACTTTTTTAAGAGCGCTGTGTTGTTGTTTGTTGTTGCCTGTTTGATGTATGACGAGTTGTCTGTGTGATTTTATTTTTTATTATTATTATTTTTGTGCTTTGGCAGGTAATTCAAACCCTTCCTCTTCATCTACTGGAGCTGCCTCTCTCCCTTCTGAGCCGCTTGCTCCTGTGTGATCCCCCCGCTCAATTGACCACCTCACAAAAGCAGCTTCTTGCTTTTTCTTGCCATCCTGGGACGATCAGCTCCCTGCCTCCAGCCGTCAGAGTCCTCCAACCAGAACTGCCTGCTCTCTGCTCCCCGAACTCCTGCAGCTGGAAATTCTGTGGGAAGCTGCTGTGGAGCTCCTCACTCTATTGTCTGGGATAGCCCGTTGTCCCTCCTGCCCACTGCAACTTTATGTAGAAACCTCAGTGCTGCAGCATGCACTGGCTCACTCGTATGAGCAGATCAGGGCTGCCACGTGTAGATTTTTAGGAAATTTGGATCCATTCAGGCCTCTCACACAACACACCCTAAAACCTGACATTTTCAAAGCCATGATAAACTGCCTTAATGATTCCTGCATGCCTGTCCGGCAGGTTGCTTGCCGGTCAGTTGGAAACTGGTTAGGCTATATTGCAGCTGGGCTGCATATGGACAGACCCAGTGAAAAGGGGATACATAGAGGGAGATGGTGCATAGAAAAGCAACAAAATAAACAGACGTACTCAGATATTGAGGCAGCAAGTGATTTGGAAACATTAAGAGAGCAGAGAATGGAGGAGGAAGAAAGAAGGTGGACACATGAAGCCAGGAGGACAGTGGCCATGCTGGTAACTCTAATCTATGATCCTGATGCCCTCACACGTCGTCACTGCTGCGCCGCCCTGGGAAACCTGCTAAATGTTGATGGAGCCATATCCTTGTTGCTGGAGGAAAATGTGCCCAGCTTACTTCTAAGAACTGCATGCACAGATTACCACAGTGCAGTGAGAGAAGCTGCCATAGGATCTTTATACCTGTACAGCCAGCAGGATGCCATGCGTCAGGTAACGAGCAAGTCACAGCATCGCACATGCTCACATTACAATAAAACAATCTCTGTTTGGAGAATTTGGTGCTTTTGAAATAGTTCATTTTTACTTTTTAATTAGAAAAGCAGAAAACAGTTCACACCTCCTGGTATTGAATTTAAAGCTGTGCTCTTACGCCCAGAGCTTGTTCTGTCCTTTAGATAAATTTTGTTCACTGTTTAATCTTTCACAAGTCAGTAACACACTTTGAAACACACATTTATTGATTTATTTAGATTATTGCTCTTCTTTTGCATTCATTCAAAGGTCCTGATGTCTCTTGATGCCAGTAAGAAGCTTGTTCAGGCTTCACAACATGCTCCTCCACAGTGTGACTATCAGCGGCTCATTGGACAGCTGACTGCACCAGAAAAGTCAGCAGCTTAAAAACCTGCTCCCTGTTTAACTTTACGGCAACATATTTGTCTGAAGCCATGTGTTAGTGAACGACCGAGTCCCCGTTTATGAATCAAAATAAAACTGTTTTACTGTTTAACGTCTCGGTTTGTGACAGCAAGCTGTTCTAATTTCACGAGAAAAAGGAAACGATTAACTTCGTAAAAATCACGGTAGGTTTTCTTTTTCATCGATAAAATTGTCATAACAATAATTCAGTCTGTATAAAAGTGGCGAATGAGGAGTTTCATTCATTTCTGAGTTATGAGTATTTCTGCGGCACCGCAGCGTGCTGTCGATTTTTGGAAAGCTTTTGTTTAGGTGTAGCGAACATTATTGATGGATTTTAAAAATGTTCCATATGCAGATCAACATGTGAATTTAGAGGCATTCGCATTTCAAAGCCCTTCGAGGTCTTCTAGAAGTCTGTGAATTTGGGCTAAATAAAGTAGAAAACAACGAAGCCGAATTTCCGAGGACTGGACGTCGAAAGCGTTTTTATGTGGTTTTATGTTAAATGTTGTATCGACTGAACTAGAAGAGATCGATACCCATGAAAGTTTTCAGTCCTCTCTGTATAACCGTCTGTCAGCTGTCTGCTCAGCGGGGCAGGGTGAGAAAAGAAGCGCTTGTCAGTGTCTGTCGGGCCCTGACCGGGCTTTACTTTGATTTCCCTTAAAAAAAATAAAATAAAATGAAAACCCCGCGGATTTATTAAATCCAAAAACCAAGCACTTATTTTCACGCTCAGGCCGCAGATTGTACTTCGGATAACGCAGACAAAAATAAAAATAAATCCCAGTAAAAGCACCAAAAAGAAAAAGCACAGCGGCCAAGTTGATGATACACTTTATTTTTTTTAAAAGCAAAAAGATTGACATCAGACGAAGTTAATTTGTATCTATGATAAAATTGCGTTAAAAACACAACGCGCTAAATGTGCTGTTAGTACACACTTTTGGTTTAACCATCGGGATTGATAGTGCACCGCAGGGGGCTAAAAAAAAAAAAAGAAGCACTAATTAAACCCCATAAATAATTACGATAGTTTCGCTGTTATATTCAAGATTGTCTTAAAATAAATATGCATAGAAAAACAACTATCCTTGGTATAAGCATGGAGCAAATGACAGTAACAATGATTATTTGCTTATATGAAAAAAAGAATTGAGACCTCTTACACCAAAGCTAAAGCTGCAAAAGCTTTAAGAAACAACAAAATTAGGATTTTTTTTTCCCAATAATTTTATAGAAAGAAAAGGTTAACACACTCCACTCCCTGAACATACAAAAGTTGTTACAAATTAGTGCAGATCAGCCAGAGGCCTATAAAACTTATTGCTTTAACAAGCAGTTTAGAGAGAGAGAATTATTTCTGAAACCCTAAATTTTCTATTCCAGAGAGTACATTTATGCAAAGGCATGCAAGGAAGGCTGTTAGAATGATACTAGTTACAATATTTGTACACATTTGGAAATAAAGAAAAAAACAACAGTTTTATATGAGGAAACCCTGCAAGCTTCAAGTCTGTAATCTCCTCCCATGATTATCTACTGATGTTTGTAGAACTGGCGGATTAACATGTATCCTGAGCTGCAAAACAGATTGTACATTTTGCAAAATGCGAGGGAAGAATATCTTACTGCCACCACATGATAAAATGTTACACATTTAAAAATAATATGAAAAAAAACAGTTTTGGTCACAGAATGCATAATGCCGACATTATTTGAAGCCATTGCTAAAAGAAAGATAGCAAAGGTTATATTTGTTACATTTAAAGGGATGAAAATTAAACAAATGTAAATACAGAAGACAAAGTAATGTTTCCAACAAAGCTGGCTAAAATACTCTAAACATACAAATAAAATAATTCTGTTATTGACTGAAATAAACTGGAAGCAAATCAAATGTTTTACAGAAAAACAAACAACAAAATACACAATAAAGTTTCACGACTCTTTTGTACGTTAGCCGCTCTTTCTGCAATTGTAAAAGTCAAAGGATATTCAAGGTCAGTTCTAATAATTTTAGTATTAATGCCAATTAGTTTTTGCTGTTGCATAAACGCAGTTGATTTGAAATATTTGTCCACACTGAAATATCAACACCCAATAACGTGATCCAGCGACTGAGCATGAAAATAATTAAAAAAGAAAGAAAAAAAAACCCTCAAACAAACATGAGTTTCTATTGCTGACATCAATTTTAACGTAAGGCTATTACAAATATAAAACCTGCATAATGAGTTACATTACTTCTGAAATTACCTTATTTCAATAGTAGATTCACGAAGTGCGAGAGCTATCGAAAATGATTGTCATCTTAAAGCATTGCTATGCCACAGTGCCGGCTCAAGTGATTCGAGTACGAAAGCGATGGAAGAATTGGATAGTGTTGATTTAAAATGTAAAAAAGATTTCATATTAGCAAAGCATGCTTTTAACCCCTCGCTACAGAAAAAAAAAGAAAAAAAATTAACATTTGATTCAGGACAAACTTAAAGACAGAAAGAGCTGCTGATTCTCCCTGTTATGCTCTCTCTAAGTGTACTCGCAGAAGCTTGGTGTTACGCTGTTGTGTCCTGCTTAAGCCTTTGGCTACGGGCCTTGTAAACTTCAATCAGCAGGTCTTTAACGTACTGGATTTCACGTTCTACGGACTCTGCTTTGTCCCGGAGCTCCCGGTTCCTCCCTTCAAGGCAGTGCAGTTGTTCCTCCAAAGAATCGAGCTCCGCCCTTTTTCGCTGGCGATACCTGCATCGACCAAAAACGAAGACTCTGTGAAAATGTAAACTCGTGAAACTTTGATAACATTGACATTTCATCGAGAAGAATCTCACCTGTGAGCGGCAGTTTTGTTCTGATCTCTTTTCTTTTGTTTGCGCTCCCCGCCTTCACCTGGAATGATGTCCACTTCGTATTTCATTGCACAGTGGTCTTCCTTCAGCCGACATGCTTGTCTGTGCCCCGAAGATTCCAGGTTCAAACTATCCCTAGCCATTAAAAGACACTCTGGGCCCTGATCCTCAAGGAAATTACAGTGTAGATCATGCTGAGCTATCTGTAGACTCTCTGTTTTCACCTGCTCGTTGATGTTGCCCAAGAAGCTATGGTAGGCCTCAGACTGTGATGTTGTTGGAAGATAACAACCTTCGCTGCTCTCGGCTTTCCAAGAAACGGTGGCTTTTGTCACCTCCACACTAGTTTTGATACTGTTCAGCACATCACTGTTACCAGCACCTCCACTGACTTCCCTCATGCTATACATCAACAGATCCTCTTTCTTATGGGGGACCTCCAGTGATCCACCAAAGCCAAATCCACCACCAACAATCTTCCCACCACCTATCACATCTTGAGTGAAACAGCAATTTTTCTCTTCTTTTGGTATAACAGCACATCGTCTGAGCTCAACCGCACTACCCAAGCAGTAGCTTTTCCCTACCAACTGGTCGTCCTCTACACAGCCATAATTACCTGTAAGGGTCACAGCTGAGTTACCTGAGTTACTTCCTTTGGAACTCAACAAACTGCTGTCACAGCCTTCGCTGAACCTCGAACCATCAGGAACTCTTTTCCTACCACACCCACTGGGTCGACTGCAGCTATATGGGGCGTGTCTTGGAATTTTGGAGCGCCCAATGGGCCCGCCACAGATGCTGAGCAAGTCCAGTTCTCCGGTTGCCAAGGTAACAAGAAGTGGGCTGGATTCCGATTGGTTGGATGTAGCGTATGATGCGTATGGCAGCTGAGTGAATGGCGGAGGACCCGCAGGCAGTGGACCCCTGTCGCATTTTCCCAGCCTCGGCCCTTTCTCGGGCAGTGGCTCAGACAGGAAGTAGTCCTCTAGTTGGGCGAGTTCCTCTTGCAGCAGAGAGGTCATGACCTCCAAGTCAGAGGGCACCTGGATATCATTCTGAAGGGGTGAAGGGGGAAGGGAGGCATTAGTAGAGGAGGGAGGGGAAGGAGGGTTTGGGAGGTACGAGGAGAAATCCACTTCTTCCGTCATCCAGTCAGTGTTACCATCACCTATTGAGGAGGGGGGAAAAATTGCATCGGTTACAAGATGTTTGTCGGAAGGAAATAATGCTGCTAAAAAAAATAAAATAAAAAAATAACGTTCATGCAAAAAAAAAAAAAAAAATCCATCAGTGCACGAAGCAGTTTCCCAAAATAACAATCAGATTTATAATAATAATAATAAAGGCAAATCAGATTGGGGGGTTTTGCCGATAAAGTTGCAGCGTTTTAATATAACAGACGTAGCTAGTTTATTACTTACTGCTCAAGAAGGACGAATGTGCTGCAGTGCCGAGCCCACCTGAAATGAGGAAAAATATAAAAAAGCGTACACGCTGCAACTCACCAATTAAGTGCTGACTCTCCTCTGACACCTCCCCCCTGCACCCCTGTGATTGGCTGTGGTTAGCCTGTGGGTGAGAGAGAGCGAGGGGGTCTGCCGGGCAGACACGAAGAGTCTTCCAAACAGGCGCTGATGTTGCCATCATTTTGTCTGTTGGTGCTTTGATTCAGTCCAAGTCCAAGCATATGCTGAGAGCAAGCAGGGTCTGAGAGATGGGCCACAGTGAGCAGGTCTGGGTGAGCATAATGAAACCTAGAGGGTAAGCAGAAAGAAAAAAAGGGGGATCAGATATATCTGAGAAAGATACGGCGTACTCAGTCGACTAATGGGGATCATCAGATGGGATTCTGTCTGTGCTGCCCTCTGCAAGTTTCTCTGCATGGTTTTAATGAGAGGCAACAAAGAAAAAATCACTTTCTGGTCCTCACTTAATTCATTTTCACACAAATACACTTTTTCATCTTTTAAACAAAAAGGCTTTACAGTAAATACCAAATACTGTAAAGCAGAAAAGTACATTATTCCCAAAACCAAGCCTCAGATGTGACACAGTGGGTGATAGAAAAGTGGGAGCAGTGTCCTGTGGGCTTTAATCTGGCTCAAAGCAAAATTAACCTGACGTCCTCAAAACACGTGGGACCCAGTGACGCTGTCAAGGGCCCAACTGTTGACAAGAAGCACCACAAGAGCTACCTCTACTCTGTAGGTGAGCTGCCCT